AAAATAAATTGATTGATTTGTGTAGCAGTATCATATGACAATTTATCTTATTATGAGTAGATAATGTTAAATGCTCTTATTAATCAATTTGCTTGGTTAATCAAATTGATTAATCAATTTACTATATGCTCTATTTGATTAATCAATTTGTGAGTGCTTTGTGTAGTGGTGATATTAATTAATCACGGTGGAAGTCAAACTCACGTTTGCTAACTTTACATTTAGATGACGTGATTATGTCAATTGATTATTTTTAGAATACAATAATGTTCAATATTTAATATCTTGTCTATTTAAAATATGTTGATGTTTATTATTTTGATTGGATTTAAATATTTTATATTTATAAAGTTAAAACTTAAATATTTTGAAGTAATCAAAGTATGAAATTAAAATATTTGATTATTTTTTATATTGTTTGCTTTAGTTCAATGAAACGCTCGCTTTGCTTCTCGCCTAAGCCCTCAGGAGACTGGTTCGCTTCGATTTACTTTACGCCTTAAATAACACTGGCTCAAGCGGTCTTGAGATGGCTCGAACGGTCATGAGGTCGCTTGAGCGGCCCTTGTTCTCCTGGCTTTTCTTGAATTATTTTCTCATTCCAGTAGTCATCGCCCTCTCATCGTTCTTCCACTACTTGAACAGTCGTTCGCTAATTTGTATTTGTTTGGTCTCCAAGATAAACCCTATTCTGAGCCTATAAATAGAGGAAGACTTCAGTCCTGTGTTAGAGCTAACTGTTACTTAAAAGTATTTTATGTATATCAAAAACCCTTGAGAGCTTGTGAGCAACCCTAGATCCTTAAATCCAAAAGGTCAAATCTCTTCTTGTGATTCTTATCAAACATCACACTTGGAGAAGAATAACTTGCTTGGTTCTACTAAACCCACTTGAAGAGTGTGCATACTGAGATTCTTGGATGCGTCCTAGGAGTGCTCGACGCCCAGACGAATCATGCATTGTGGAATCCAAGTGAAGTTATCTACGACATCGATGAATGTATTCGGTGGAGAGATTTATTGAAGAAAAATGAACGTTTAATCATGGTATTAGTTGAGGTATAAGACTTTATTACTTGTAAATTAATTGTGGGACAGTGGATTAGGTTTTTGTGCTTCCTGAGTGGTTTTTCGCCCTTTTTTTGAGAAGGATTTCCGCGTCAACATATCATTTGTGTTATTTATTGTTTATAGTATACACTTGTGATTTGATGCATACAAGTACACTATGTGTTTGATATTTTGATCACTTGAGCTTTTATTACATTCTTAGTGGTTTAGTGGGTTGTTTGCCTTTGGAGGGGATTTGCGTCGTTGTGAGATTGAGTGTTAATTGAACAAATTGACATATTCATATACATACCAATTCACATGGCAGGTATGAGTTGTTCTTGTTAAGGGGTTCTCACACTTAATTGTAAATTAATTTATGAAGAGGTAATTATGGTAGACATAGGTTAAAATTTAGTGTTTGTTTAGGCATAATTTTAATTAATCTCTTCACCCCCTCTAGGTAGTGTCTAATCTCATGTGTCTAATCGTGAGGGATGATCCATTCCACACAACGATATCGCATTTATCCTTACAATTACTACCATCATCATTAGCACCACTATAAGTACCATCATTATTATCACCACCCTTATTGGTTGACCTCGTCTCCTTTCCAAGTCTTTTGGTGGCGGCATAGTTCCTAGATGTTGGACACATGTTAGTGTCACCTTCATCAACTGCATCTTGTTCACTTTCACTCTCTTAAATGTTATGAATACTTTCATCCTAATGGGTTGCTCCTCCTCCCTTATCCACCTATATAATAGGTCCTCATCATTAAAAATATAGTTTAGATCAATTGAAATATAAAAATCATCACTGTCATGTTGATACGTCAAATTTATAACTCGCAATTGCATATTGTAGTGTACAAAAACTAGCTTATGCAGCTTCTTCATTGTCACTCAGCTGTGAAGTTTTATATGGATCAACGACCATGTACTCCAATTTCTCTCACACTCTGATGATAAACATGTTTGATTTAAGACTTTAACTACAATTTTTTATAGGTGGGGGATTTTTTAACCCTAGTTGATCCACCATTTAGCTACAAAAAAAAATGGTTGGACAATATTAGTATTTGTAATTGCAAATAACAAATGATACTTTAATCAATACATATAATTTAAATAATAAACCTGGAAGGAAGACATGTACTGCTTTCTTAGTGAGTGCATTCGCAAACACTATGTCTATCAATATCTAATTTGATATGCAAAAATACACATATGAATAATATATAGACACATTATAATACAAATTATTAAAATTCTCATACCTTGTTCATAGCCCTTGCTTGTTTATTTAAATCTAGGTCTAATCTTTTAATAGCCTTTTGCAGACTAGATCTCACCTCTGGATGATTGAAAAATTGATTAGAACATTGAAAAATTGGATTTAAGAAATATGCTGCATAGTTTTGACAATTTAATATTTGTGAGTTCAATTGCTATAATTTCTATTTAATAAGCAATGAAATTTTTTTTTTTTGAATACTTTACAGCAACGTGCATGTGTCTATTGAGTTGGGTTTCCCATTTTTTGTCAATTACATCCCCCAATATTTTCTCCATTTTTTAATTGAATGTTCTATGGCTAATTTAGCCCTATCCATTACCCCATATACAATTGATAAAGGGAGTTTTTGGTCTTGATCTACTATCTTTAATACCCTTACAAGAGGCTCCATAATGGATTAGACTTCTTTAGCCTTCTTTCAAAATTGGGCAGTTAAAATAAGGTTTGAGATCTTATCTCTTGTCCTTCTCCTATTCTTGTCCTTGTTGAAATCACACATTTCATCTGTGGTGCACATTCTTTTCAAGTCAGATTCATAATGGATAAGGCTTTCAACGGCGATGCATGCAGTGACAAATCGTGTTGTATTTGGTCTCAATAAATCTCTCTCTCTCTCTCATATGTTATTTCATTAAGGTCACCACTTTGAGATTATTGTAGATAAATGATGTGATCATCTTCGCATCATCTATGGTCTCCTTGATTACTTTTATCTTACCAACATTTTCTAGCATCAAATTGATGCAATGGGCTGCACAATGAGACCGTAAAGTTTAGAGATTTAAGAGAGAATAATTATGGAGAAATTGTGAGAGGTGAGGATAGAAATTTTTTCCCCGCCTTATCTCTCACTCTCAACATCTATTTGATATTACAGATAGTAAGTTGAATTCTCAGCTTATAAAAGCATAACAATTGTCAAGATTAATTCAATTTTCATTTGCTTTGATTTAATGGTATAAAATTCATCCCAAGATTGATTCAATTTTCATTTACTTTTCATTTATAGCTAGTGACTTGAAACGAATCGAGAATCGTAAGTTTATAAATTACAGAAAATGTTGTTAAGGACTTTTTGTTGACAATAAATTAACTATAATGGGGCATGATCACAACATCTAATTGTCAAGTCTCTTGACTTCATGGCAAGAATGTGGATTATAATCATATTGTGATCTATTTTCTAGCTGTGAATCATCTCTTCAGTTCTACTATCTTAATAACCACACCATAAACTTAGAATTATGTAGTATACCCTATTCACCTTTCAAAGACTCACCATTTCATAGGCTTCTTCAAAATTGACAACATAGAAATAAATAACACCCAATAGTTCCCATTATTGGGGGTGGGGGGGGGATTGATTGAGTACAGGTCTAACCTTTGACATTATTTGCATAATGTGGGTTCAAACCCACAATCTTAAGGTTATTTTGCTGAATTTCAACCACTGAACTAGTGGCCTCCTGTTGTGTTCAAAACTCACAACATATAGCTCCAAAATAGACTTGTTGTTTGCAAGAATGTGAGAGAATAGGGTCTAGCTTAAAAAGCAATAATGTTTCTTTTTCTATTCTTATTGAAATTCATAAATGGACTTAGAAACCCTAGAATCTATACGATAAGATAAAAAGGGTTTTTACCATAAAGCACAAAGCATAACCAGATCGTTTGAATCCAACGACTTACTTAGAAGTTGAATCTCTCCCCAATAAATCTTTTAATCAACACCGTAGATCATTTGGACTCAACAACTTATCTTTCGAACTTGCGATTTTTGAACTCTAGTAAATCTTTCGACCACACTTATGTCAAAAATATTTTAATCGCACTTACATTTTGGCCATAATAAAGCTGTCCACTTACATTTTAACCACCCTCTTACATTTTAGCCACAATAAAAGTGTACACACTTGGCTAAAAGAAAAAGTGCACATTTGGTTGAGCATTGCATGTGGGAGACCACTAGTGAGTAGAATAAGAAGAGAGGCTGGGTGGGTACTATTGTTTTTGTTTGAAAGCACAAAGTACTTTAAAAGTGTCTTGTAGGCTTCTTTTCAAAGAAAAAGAAAGGAAAAATGAGATATAAAATAGGCAGGTGTGACTCCTCTAACTTAGATCCAAAATAAGTTAGTACAATACAGAGTATGTGAATCCTAAACTTCCTCAGAAGTTTTCTTTTCAGCTTCTTGATAGAATTGAATGAATTGGGTCGATTTGTGCGATTAATGTGCGAGAATTTTTGGCCTGGATTTCCAATAGCCAAACTGTAGTACTGTCTAATAAGGTGAATGACCAAACTCAAGCACTTATTATGGGGATTAACTCGAGTACATGCCTTGAGGTTTAACTCAACTCCTTACTTTGCAAGAGCAACCAAACTAAAGTACTAGTCGTTAGTTGACGAGCTATTACACCAAGGCCCTTGGGCGCAAAATTTTTTAATTCGGACTTTTGGGTGCCTTACTTTGGTATATGCCCTATGGTCTATCTCTTGTGTGATTCATAAGAGCAGCTCGGAGATCTGTCTGATGCTAGTTCATGTTGTGAGTGAAGAATTTATAAGAACGTGAGTGAAGAATTTATAAGAACTTGTACAAAACGTGTTTCTCTGATATTAGGATAGTAGGGCTTACAAGAATGTGAGAATGAAAAAGTCGGTGTTTGAGGGAGCTGGTTGTCATTTGATGTTTCCCATAGCCATTGGTGGTTTTGTGCATGCTTGTAGCTTAACAAATGTTTTATCGTGAGGTTCTCTCTTGCTGGTCAAACTCATGGAGTCACCCTCTCCTAATGTCTATCTGGATCTCGTTGTGGAGTTGTCGACGTTCCTCTATTAGGATCATTGCTTGGTGGAAAGCACAACATTTGTCTTGATCTCGTTTCCTCAGGTCTCCCATGAGTCTCTCAGGCCATTGGAGTAGCTTGGTTGCTGGCTTGGTGCAGCACATGCTCCTGAGGAGTATTCAAGAGGTAAAGATATGGATTTGAGCAAGTGAGTTCAAGCTTCAGTGTCGTGGCTCCACACCATAAGAGAACGTATCGGTTAATGATTTGTAAATGATATAAGGCAGTCATTGAACATTTGTATTACGAGAAAAAGTTAAATTAAAACTATTAAAATATAAGTTTGAAGATCACCAAACTAAATGGCGGGCTCATATTGACATGGGATGGCCTCATTTCAATGCTAGTAAATAATCATTTGTAATTACAATTTGAGATTATCTAGATTGTGAGTTGGTTTAGGATTTCAGTTACAATTTGGGGTTGTGAATTTTTGGCGATTTGGATCACGAACCCACCTTGTGTCGAGACATGCGGCCCTGGTTTGCAAGATGCTTAGGGTATCTACAATCCCAGTAACTATGATCTGGTCCACTCTTTTTCCTAGATCTGTTTTGCGGGCTTAGGGACATTTGGATCCTGTCGAGCTAAGGGCAGGGAAGTAATTGTTATTGTCTTCATTTGAACGAGCCAGATTTGAGCATCGGTGGTTACTTCCCTCCATTCTGGTGGGTAGGTTAGTGTGCTTTTGTGGGCTTGCCGTTCTTTGTAGAGAAGTTTGATTGTATTTGATTCTTGGTCAACCTGTGCTGCCCGAGTTCGCATTTGGAGGAGGGTAGCTTTATGCCAATCGGTCCGCAAGTGAGGGGTTTTGTAACTCTGGTTTATTTGGCATGTTTTTAGAAGCATTGGGCATTCCAGGCAGGTATTTTTGACTTTCTGAGGACCTGATTATGGAAGCTATCTCATCTGTGAAAGATAGGTTTTGTGGAAAGACAACAACTTTGTCATTCCCATAGTAAACGCCAAACTATTGATGTCAGAATTTGATCAACAGTTAATGAAAGAAGATGTCTTACTGGAAAACTGCAAGGCAGAGAAAGGGAAGCAAGAATAGGGGCTCCCGACTCTGGTGGAGATCTCGATGCTCAAGGTAGTAATCGTTTTGAGAGAATACACCAAAAGGAGGTGCTTTTTGGGCTTCTGAAAGCATACGTTACTAGTGTAAGAGAATTGCCTCCAAATAAGATGAGTCTGCCGATCATAGGAAGATCTCTGGAATAGATTAGTGTAATGGAGGTCGATCTTTAGAGAAATAAGAGTAAGATGTATTTATTTCCCTAATTTAGGTTGCGGTTATGTGTGAGGTGGCTCTGACTGGTTCCATTGACCTGAGTTAGTGTGTGCTAAGATGAGCCATTGCCTATTTATAGATACATGACCTGCTGAGGCAGGAGCTGCCAAGGCTGAGCCAACAAATATTATGCATATTGTTCTTATTCATGAGAAATGGGTTCCTGCTGTTACTTTCTTAAATAGCATGCATCGAAAGTATTCCTCATATATTCTGTTGTTGAAGTGCAGGCGCTTAATGGCTCTGCATCTCTGCCTCATGGTACTGGAAAGGTACAGTCGACGCTTGATGAAATATAATAGTCATAAATGATGCTCTACTCTCCAAGATTATCTGATTAATTGTACTTTCTCAGGCTTTTCGGGTGGCTGTCTTTGCTGAAGGGGCAGCTGCAGATGAGGCCCGAGCAGCTGGAGCTGATGTTGTTGGTGGTCAGGAGCTTATCGAGGGAATCAAGAATGGTAAAGCACCAATGCGAACACAGAAAGCACATGCATAATGTCACAACTTAAGGGAATGATTTACTTAAAACGACCATCCAATATACAAACTTATTACTCAAAATGACCATCCAATACACTGAACTTAGGATAGGCCTTTAACGTTGACATTCATTATGTGCAGGCACCGTTAAGGTCGATTTTGACAAGTGTATTGCGACCCATCAAATAATGCCACTTGTTGGAAAACAGGTTTTGGGAATTTTGATTGTTTTATAAACTGGGCAATTAATCAAATTGTTAGCCAGCTATGAGATATTATGTTTTCCGGTTTGCAGATATCAAAAGTTCTTAGGCGATTGACACCAAATGCTAAAGTGAGTTTGAATTTTTCTCTCTTGATTTATACACCTTGCAGATGACCCATAGCATTCTCCTAAGTTCTTTTTATGATATAGAATGGTACTGTGACCAATGATATTTCAAGGGTGGTGAGAGAGGCAAGACGCAATATTGATTTCAAAAAAGACAAATCTGCAATTGTGCATGTAGGGCTTGGGAAGGTACAACTATTTTTTTCCTGTTTTGTACTGATTTATGTTAACATTAAAAATGATTCGTGACTTGTTTATTTCTGGGACCTTACCCATTCACTCCGAAACAACAATATTTTTCAGGTTACTTTTCCAGAAGAGGCTTTACGTGAAAATGTTGGTGCATTTGTGAATGCTCTTTTGCTTGCAAAGCCTGCGGGCTTAAAGAAAAGTGAGTAATCTACATTTTTTGGGGTAACATAAGTGGTGAACGCAACATGGTTGCTAATTTGTTGTTCACGAGATGAAATGAAATGGAACGAAAATATAATGGTATGCTCCTAAAACATAAGTACACACCAGGTTGACAATAGGTGATCTAAAATCACTGGGAATGGAGGGACTGGTAGGTCTTTTGTTCTGTTAACCCATGGAAAATGTGATCATCCTCATTTTATGGCCTGTCACAATTTTACTTGCACCTTCTATTCTTCAGGAATTGGACCTCGTCACATTTATTTTTGTTTAAGACTGACTGAGGAAGAAGTCAGTAATATTGGTGGGGAGTTTGGTGTCTACGTCATTGTTAAGTAAAAGTTTCTACTTCAAATTATCATTGATATTTCGCTCTGGATTGGAACTATAGCACATATAAGTTGACTGTTGTTGGTTATGCTATTTTTGTTGTCTTATGTAATGATAACACTATGATATCAATATGATACTATTGTTATGATAATGGTGATAGGTAATATATAGATGTGCACAGAAGGAAAAAAAAACTTTAAGTTACATCATCTTTGGTTAGACTTGAACCCAGATATCTGGCTTGATATCTAAAAATATATGCTACCTATTCAGAACTAATCATTTCGTAAATTGTTTTATCTGGCAAAACCTCTATGATTAAGACCTACTATAGAGTAACTTAGATATTTCAGTTACCAAATGATCTAGTTGTTATAGATTTTGTGTGTCTATTTTGTTTTTTGATGTCATACAAATTGGATTTCACACAAACCGACTTATTCATGAATAGTTCATAGTCAACTTGCTTTAGGTTTGTTTACACTCTGAGCCATGGTCAAGCTCCAGTTTCACTTCCCCTCTTCCTTTCTCCTTCTTCACCACCCATTCACACTCTCAACTATGCAAAAAAGACCCCAGTTTGAAATTTGATTATGACCGAGCTCATGTCATGTACAATTCGCAATAACAGTTGTGCAAAATCACAAAATCACTTCATTTGATCTTTTATAATACATTAATAAGGCCACTCATGCTGCATTATTATGCTATTCAGGCTTTGAACTTCTTACATACTTAAGATATCTTCATTTTCAAGTTATTGCTAGAACTGGCATATTGTTATTAAAATTCATTTTTTATTGGTATGACAGCCAAGTTTGATAGAACTCAAATTTGTCAGAATTGGCATATTGTTATTAGAACTGAGATTTTATATTGGTGTGCCATTCAATTTGATAGAACTCAAATTTTTAGCCCCATAGTATTCCATCTCCATTCAACCAGATCTAGAGGTAGACTATTGTTTAAATGGGTAGGATTTTTAAGAGCAAATGTAACTACCATATCCTCTGGTATGATATAAGGTAATATTTTGGAACATTTCCTATATTTACTGGTTGTCAAGCATACTGCGTTGTCTTTGAAGAGATTTGGAGGATTTGATTAAGAAAAAGAAAGCAATGAGACGAGATGTAGAAGATAATAGAACAAAGCAAAAGAACTACTCAGTAGTCTCTGACTCGCATGATTCTATATATATGTGGATATTGGGTTGCATTGAATAGACCAAACTACCCTTATTTAACATTACTAATTACAAATATATTTCCTAACATTTCCCTCTGAACTGGATTGTAAGTTATGTTGAGAGCAACTTCATTGTCATAAAATAGCTGCGATGGTTAGATCATTGGAAATCCAAGTTCATGTGATAAACTCCTCAGCCACAACAATTCACATGTAGTATGTGTCATAGCTTTATCTCTGCCTAATCATTGGATCGGGTTATCTGGTGATCAAAATTTGGATCCTGGCCGTAGGATCTTATGATCCTACGATCCAGGCAAATCAATGTGAATCTCATAGGATCTTAATGGATCACGATTCAAATCTTGTAGGATCGTAGAATCCCAATCCCAATTGAAATCATACCTATCCAAGTTTTTGGGCTTGTTTGTGGGCGCCTTTAGTTATTGAACTATCCTAACATATTTTTTCTTCCTTAATACTTAAAGATTCAATTCAAATATGAATTGTCTCATATACTTGTCAGTCTATTGGGAAATTTAGGCAAATGGGAAATGTAAGCAAACTCTCTTCATTACAAAAAGCAACATTGAAAGTTGAAAATAACAGTTAGGTTTGTTCTCTTCTCTCTTAGGNTTCATTTGATCTTTTATAATACATTAATAAGGCCACTCATGCTGCATTATTATGCTATTCAGGCTTTGAACTTCTTACATACTTAAGATATCTTCATTTTCAAGTTATTGCTAGAACTGGCATATTGTTATTAAAATTCATTTTTTATTGGTATGACAGCCAAGTTTGATAGAACTCAAATTTGTCAGAATTGGCATATTGTTATTAGAACTGAGATTTTATATTGGTGTGCCATTCAATTTGATAGAACTCAAATTTTTAGCCCCATAGTATTCCATCTCCATTCAACCAGATCTAGAGGTAGACTATTGTTTAAATGGGTAGGATTTTTAAGAGCAAATGTAACTACCATATCCTCTGGTATGATATAAGGTAATATTTTGGAACATTTCCTATATTTACTGGTTGTCAAGCATACTGCGTTGTCTTTGAAGAGATTTGGAGGATTTGATTAAGAAAAAGAAAGCAATGAGACGAGATGTAGAAGATAATAGAACAAAGCAAAAGAACTACTCAGTAGTCTCTGACTCGCATGATTCTATATATATGTGGATATTGGGTTGCATTGAATAGACCAAACTACCCTTATTTAACATTACTAATTACAAATATATTTCCTAACATTTCCCTCTGAACTGGATTGTAAGTTATGTTGAGAGCAACTTCATTGTCATAAAATAGCTGCGATGGTTAGATCATTGGAAATCCAAGTTCATGTGATAAACTCCTCAGCCACAACAATTCACATGTAGTATGTGTCATAGCTTTATCTCTGCCTAATCATTGGATCGGGTTATCTGGTGATCAAAATTTGGATCCTGGCCGTAGGATCTTATGATCCTACGATCCAGGCAAATCAATGTGAATCTCATAGGATCTTAATGGATCACGATTCAAATCTTGTAGGATCGTAGAATCCCAATCCCAATTGAAATCATACCTATCCAAGTTTTTGGGCTTGTTTGTGGGCGCCTTTAGTTATTGAACTATCCTAACATATTTTTTCTTCCTTAATACTTAAAGATTCAATTCAAATATGAATTGTCTCATATACTTGTCAGTCTATTGGGAAATTTAGGCAAATGGGAAATGTAAGCAAACTCTCTTCATTACAAAAAGCAACATTGAAAGTTGAAAATAACAGTTAGGTTTGTTCTCTTCTCTCTTAGGAAATGATCATAGCCAAAATATGTTTTCTATTTTCATTCTTTTCTGTTTTTTTTTTGGGTTGGATGTCAAATAGTCAAATTTGTTTATTTAACAATCTCCCAACTTTCCGGCCTCTACTCTGTCTCTTTCAAAAAGTTAAGTTCAAAATACTCCAATTCTCTAATTGCTCTTTGCAAAATTCCACAAGATCAACAGCTCACATTTGATTTTCAACCCTTTTGAATGATTAGATCATAGTTTCTCAAATTTTAATCATATATCTAAGTTTTATGTTTGTCCTCACATTTCTACATTTTGCATATATACTACCTCTCCCATCGATCTAAGGTAAGATCCCATTTTTAAATACCTTGGGGCTATCACACTACAGTTCTTGCTTCTCTGCGTAATCAAATTTCCTTCAAGGAATGTGCAGCACAAGTAGTTGATCTTCTATCTTATGGAGAACTAACCTAACCTGCGTCAATAAAGCCAACCACTTCTAACTTTCCACAAGCTTTGTACAACATTCCTTGACCAGGAGCTTTCCCGATGAGGTACTCTAGGAGATTCCATGAACTGACAAACTGATATTAACTAAAAATGAAATATCTGGTTTGAGGATGGTTTTGAATTTGCCTGCTAGTCTCCTATATCTATCTGGATAATTAAACATCCCTCCCTGAACTGCAGTCAATTTTGTGTTTGATTCCATTGTAGTATCATCTGGTTTAGTCTCTTTAAGTCTTGTAAATCAGCTCACCCTATATGTTCTCTGGTCTCCCCCAAGCTGAAATCCTAGATATGCTATTGCACCCTATATTGTTCTTCTTTAAACATTCTGCTTTTTTTTCTGCACACCCTTTGGAAGTGAGTCTAGTGCTCCTGGTGTATAAAATAATGAAGCGGCCCTCATACTTATTTTTTTATACCAGTTCATGGTAAGTGGTTAACCTGATTACACCCATGCGGGTCTTGCATAGTAATATAAAGTGACTGCAACTGTAGATCCACATGTTTGGATGTTAATCTTTGTTGTTTCTTAGAGAATTCAAGTTTTTGTTCATGATTCTCTTGCTGGATGGCACTGGTCCTTTCATTGCCGTTAACACTTTATATTCCCTTCGATGCAGGTTCCAAATATGCTGGGTATGTGAATTCCTTCCATATATGCAGCACGGTAAGCTCTTGAATCATGCTCTCAGTTGTTTTGGTGCAATATTAGACCCCTAGAAAGAAGCCAATTATAGAAATTAAATGAATAACGTTTTGGGACAAAAAAGGCCATCTCAGAATGACAGATTAGAAGGAGATCATGTAAGAATATACTCCTGTGATCCATTGTGAAAAAGATGTATACCTTCGATCTGTGCTAACGGCCTATCTCAGAAGATATAAGGAATCATGGTTTGAAATTCAACAAGGGGTTGTGGTCTAAAAATATCTGCCCACTTTTTTCAGTATGATTAAGTCGTTAACACATGAAGTGAAAAAAGGAATGCAATGGTGGCAGAAGGATGAAACCTTGTTTTCTAAGACCTTGCTTGACTTGGCTGCCAATCATCTGGGAACCACCAGGGCGTGGCATAAGATGGCAGGAAGAAAGTGCCCTTTTTATTTTTAGTAAGTTAGCGAGATGAAGGAGATATTTGCTAAAATTATGCGTCCTATTGGTGTCCATGTCTGGGCCAGTTTCAAAATTTTGGTCATCGGTGTACGGATGTGCCCTTCAAAGTAATGGACGTCCACCTTGATATTTGCTACATTGTGAAGATATTTGATTTCTGTTTGTGGTAGCATCTCAACTGGATGGCCGAGGTTAGAAGTGCAGACAGATGAAGGTCTAATATTGAAGCCTCAGGAACAAAATCTGAAAGCGAGAACAGTCTCCAAGGGTTCGCACATTATATCATTAGAAGGATTTACATATGATGAAATGTTTAATTCATTAAATTGAAGTGGCCTAATTATGTAGAATGAGCCTGTCTTGTATTAATGTTAAGCTTCATTTAGTAATGGCATAAGAAATCTAT